GAGGAGGAGAAGGAGGAGGAGGAGGAGGAGGGGAGGAGGAGGAAGAGGAGGAGGAGGAGGAGGAGGAGGAGGAGGAGGAGAGAGGAGGAGGAGGAGGAGGAGGAGGAGGAGGAGGAGGAGGAGGAGGAGGAGGGAGGAGGAGGAGGAGGAGGAGGAGGAGGAGGAGGGGGAGGGGGGGGGAGGGGGGGGGAGGGGCAGGAGGAGGAAAAGGAGGAGGAGGGAGGAGGGAGGAGGGAGGAGGGGAGGGGGGGTGGAGGAGGAGGGAGGAGGGAGAAGGGAGGGAGGAGGGAGGAGGGAGGAAAAAGAGGAGGAGGAGGAGGAGGAGGGGGAGAAGGAGGAGAAAAAGGAAGAGGGAGGAGAAAGGAGGAGGAGGAGGACGATGATGAGGAGGAGGAGGACGATGAGGAGGAGGACGAGGTGGAGGAAGAGGGAAGGAGGAGGGAGGAGGAGGAGGGAGACGAGGAGGAGGAGGAGGAGGGAAACGAGGAGGAGGAGGAGGAGGAGGAGGAGGAGGAGGAGGAGGAGGAGGGGGAGGGGGAGGAGGAAGGAGGAGGAGGGAAGAGGAGGAGGAGGAGGGAGGAGAGGAGGAGGAGGAGGGGGGAGGGGGGCGGGAGGGGGAGGAGGGAGGCGGGAGGCAGGAGGCGGGATGAGGGGAGAGGGAGGAGGGGCGAGGGAGGAGGGGAGGAGGAGGGGCGAGGGAGGAGGGAGGGGAGGGAGGAGGAGGAGGACGGAGGAGGAGGGAGAGGAGGGAGGAGGAGGGAGGAGGAGGAGGAGGACGAGGAGGAGGACGAGGACGAGGAGGAGGAGGAGGGAAGAGGGAGGAGGGAGGAGGGAGGAGGGAGGGAGGAGGAGGGATGAGGATGAGGATGAGGAGGGGGAGGAGGAGGAGGAGGAGGAGGAGGATGGAGGAAGGAGGAGGAAGAGGAGGAGGAGGAGGCGGAGGAGGAAACGGAGGAGGAGGAGGAGGAGGAGGTCGGTCGGTGCAGGACTGCGCTAAAGGTTGTTGCTCGTATCCTGGCCGTGCACAACTAAACTATGGAAAAGGGTACGCTGCTCAGGCACTTCCGTTGCTATCCCGCTTACTCACCCGACTCAGCCATTGTTCAGCGGATTCCTCCCACCGCTCACCATCACGCGCCAGAGAAAACCAATCTCTGCCCAATATCCGAGAGAACTGTTGCTCCCACCGCCACACGCGAAATCGCCCAGGGTGACACTGAGAGCCGTACAGCGCTTCCAAAGTGTGCAAGCACGCTGAGCCACGATAGACCAACGCCTTGCCCACCAAGCGGCGTGGAGCACGATATGTGATGCGAACGACGTGCCCGGCCCACTTGTGTGCTTCAATCAGAGCAAGTTCATCCCAACGTTTCCAGCCATACTTCAGACGCAAGTGCCTCATGCGGTCTGCGGTGATCGCCATGTAATCCACTGCGTCGGTCTGCTTGTCGATTGAACCAGAAAGCTTCCATCGCATCACCCTCCTTGTCATGCGGTCCTCCACCCCTCGCAAACGAGTCAACTGTCGCTGTGTTTTGTGGCGCGTGCCCAAATAGTAAAGAAGGGCTGGTAAGACGAGCTTCCTGAGCAGACGTTGACGCTTGTGTAACGACCCGGCCTTGCTCCTCAGGAGATTGGCGCGCTGGTGGAAAACAGCTCGCGCTCGAGCAATTCGATGGTCGACTTCTGCTGCGCAGTCGCCAGAACAAGACACCATACTTCCAATAATCTTGATTCCTGCATCTCGCGGCACATTTCGTAATTCCACACTTGCACCCGCCGTGGGGGTCGATAAAATTTCCGGCCAAATATTCGGAACAGCCACTGTCTGAGATAAAGGGCCCCCTGCTGTGGAAGACCATGAGCAAGAAGAAAGATCGACGCTGAAACCGGCCCGTTGTAGTCGCTGACAGCACTTCGCCATCATTGCCCGCAGTTGACGCGCACTTGTGGCCAGGAACCAAACATTGTCCGCGAACGTGAGCAGCGAAATTCGCTCCGTCCCCTGCCTGGCTATTTTGAACGGCCGCTGACCACAACTGGCGCGCAGCACATCCAAATCTTCGTGTGAAATCTCCACGCCCCAGTTCTGAGTCGCAGCATACTTCACGAGTGGTAAAATCACTTCTGTGTCTACTACCAAGTTGAAATTCCCTGGTGCTTCTGGATCGCCTTGGAACATGGATCGCGCGCGTGCTATCCGGCGCCCAGGGTGAAGGCCGGGGGGCTTGACGACGCCCCGGCTGCGTCGAACTTCGCGTACATATGCAGCCGTCGCAAACCTCGGCGCCCTGTGCGCCTCGAAAGAACGAATCCAAGCATGATGGTCCACAGTATCATAAGCTTTGAACACATCACCGTCTAAGAAAAACAAGTTCGTGTTAAATTCGATCGCCTTCTCGATGAGCTGGCGGATGACGAGCCGTACCTCTGCGGCCTGGTACCCCGGCTTGAAAGCGAACTGGTACTCTGAGACGGGGAAGTCGTGTAGCTTTGCCACGCCGGCCAGAACCATGCTGTACAATTTGGACACGACGGATAATATTGAAATCGGCCTTCACTCCTGCATGCGCTGCGGATTGCAAACTTTCTCCAACAGTGTGATCTCATGCGTCGTGAAAGCCACATCATCCACCAAGTGTTTCATTCGAATATTGAACAAATTGGCGAGGTCGTTGAAAGCTTCTTCCGGTAATGTTGCGATCATCTCCGCTGTGATCATGTCATCCCTGCTGCGTGTTTTCCCCTTCTCGAGCTTACTTGCCAACTCCTAGAGGCGGTGCGGAGAAAGACGGTCAAGGTGTGGCAAACAATCTGCTTGCGTCCAGCGTCTGTTGCACCAAGACGGTAGACAGCGAACGGTGATACCAGTGTATAGTTTCTTCGTATAAGTCCAAAGCCATGGTCTGCAAAACGGTCCTGTCCTCGATGACGCGGCCCTGGTCGTCCTTCTAACGCGGCTTCCATGGTCGACGTCGCCTCTGACCGCGTAGCGCCCTTCCCGATGCAATGGCCGATTCGCACTTGAGGAAGTAGTTGGCCTTCAAAATGCCCTTGCGGATCTTGTGCGCGGCGGTGCTGAACCAATAGGCCATTCGCGGACACCTTGCCGACTGCCGCAAATCCGTGGCCGCGCGCAGGGCAGAAATCAGAACGTGACCTCCGGGAATACGCGGTGACCGTCGCAACGGCGGCTGCCCCCATTTCTGCGCAGCCCCACTGATGATACCCAACATGTCCTCTAAAATCGATCCTGCGTAACATATTCCTCCTCGCACGTCCCCGGCGGGAGCAACTGTTGCCGGCCCCCCTGGTCGTCGTCAACGTCGGCGTCGACAGGCAATGCTGCAGGCGTCGGGCAAGATCCAAACGAAATGTCCGCTAGATGCAACCCCTCCGGCGGCACCGCATGCCCCTGCAGCCGGCCTCGGAACTGAGCCTCGTCCCAACCTATGATCCCATAGGAGCGGTGTTCAAACCTGGACGGGGCAGCTCTTGGGCGCGCCCCCCGCTTCGCCAATTCGTCCGCGCGTGAGTTCCCAATGTCGCCTCGATGGGATATCCTCCATTCCGGTCGCCCCATTGAAAAGGCATTGCAACATAATGCCCAGACCGTTTGCACCGCTGCGATGATGGTAACATTGTAGATCGGGCGAGTCTCGCTCAGGAGCAGCTTCGTGACATACAGGGAGTCGAAAACCATCTGAACCTTTGCTCCTCGTGGAACCTGTGCGTCTGGCTCATCACATTGATGTAATAACCACAGCCCTGCTTCCAACATGGCTTGCAATTCTCCCGTGTTGTTACTCTGCCGAATTGCCCCTACGAATAATGGGTGCCTCGAGTCAACGACTGTGGGGCCACATAGTTCGTATTTCGGTGCCTCCCAAATTTCTGGCCGGCTGGAGCCATACACTGCGAACCCCCAACCACACTGAACGTCAATACCCCGCTTGCGCCCATTGCTCCGTAAAGTGTGACTGCGAAAAGATCCATCACAGAAAACACCGTAGGCCTCCAACGGAAGCCAGGTCGCATGGTACAACGGTGTGGTTGCGGTATTCTGGGTCTTCTCCAACATCTAGTTTTTGTACTCCGTGTCCGTCCTTGCCTTCCAGTGCAAAGGCTTGCGGGGTAGAGCCTCATCCGCTGCTGATTGCTGCTCCCATGCCAAGTCCCACCCGCCCAACACAGGAATAGTAGCGTACACCGGAAAGTGGTCTGAGTCGTGACTCGTCGTAAATCGTACGGAAGCGTCGCATCGATCAAAAACTTGACCTCGACACGTAATAACATCTAATTGAACACACCTTCCAAATGTCCTGTGACAAAAAGTGTCGTACCCATCTGGTGCATCACACGTGAAAGTATTGACCGCTCGAAGTGTCTCTGCACACATAACTTCTAGAAGCATCGCTGCTTTCCATTGGTGCACTGGCATAGTCGTCCCGGTACATGGTCCGATCAAGTGGTTCTCAAGCCCCTTGAGCGCTGTATTAGCATCCGCTCCGCATAAAACGCTGGCTTCACTTGGGCATGAAAGTAATAACGCCTGGAGGTCGTCCAAACTCTGCTGAAATTCACCCCTCGATTGCGTGGCACTCAAATGAGCGCTTATCAAAAACACCTTGCCCAATACAGGGTGGTCCAAAACCACCCCGACAGCATGTTCCCGGAGCAAAGGTTCTGAGACTACGTAGCTGCGCCACTCCATACTAATGATGATGGCTGGTATCCTGGCTCCACCGATGGTGGGAGCCGCGATAACCCAGTGGCCCCCTTATGTCGTCTGGAAAATCTGTGGCCTTCGAAAGCTCCTGGCAGAAGATCACGTGCCACCCGAATTCGTTCATTAAGTCATGCATGACGTCGTCGGCGTCCTGCACCCGGATACCTTCAAAATTGAAACTGATAGCAACAATTTTCCCCATACATCCTTGGCGCATCCGCCTCCTCTGTACTCACGGTCGTGGCGGCGGATTGTTTGCCTGTTCCAATACCGCGTCTGGGTCGAACTGGAACCCCGCGCCCTCGAGCTTACCCTTGGCCCCGGAAACCACCTGCAGCAACCCCGTAGCCTTATCTGCTTCGTAGACCTTGATCGGGAGGGCGCCCGCGGTCAAGATCGACACCTTCAAGATGACGTCCCCGTAGTCGTTGGTGCCTACACACTTTTGTGCCACCTCGTCGTTGCAGCCGTGTTTGCTGATCGCGTGAGTCATCATCAACCTCCGCGCCGCCTGCTGCCTCGTGGATTGCAACCTCTCCGGCTCGGTCTTATCAATGCCGTGCCACAGCATGCGCTTGTTAGGGTCGGCGGGGTCTGTGGGACGGTCTGCTGATGCTCTCGACGAGGTGAACTTGATGCCTTTGAACGCTTTGAGGAAAGTCCACATCAAATTGCTGGAATCGAAATGAATACGCACTCTCGAACAATAAGCTCCGCATCCCACCACCTTCGTGTACACGATCCCCTTCGCCTCCAACTGGCCCTTGATGTCATTGACCAGGTTGTCGGCCTCGTCGTACACACACCCCCCGACACATACCACCTTACGTGCCCGAATCGGGGTCGCTTGGGTGTTTTGGAGGGACTGGGCAAGAAGTGAGGCTGACGCACCCCCTGATATCCTTCTCGACCTTGGCCTTCCACTCCCGGAGGTCCCTGACTTCATCCTTCACGGTGCGCAGCGTGTTCTCATGCTTATTCAAAGCCTGCTTGATGGGCTTCAACTCGGTCTTGAGGCTCATCTGATTCATCTCCGCCATGGCAGGAGGAGGAGGAGGAGGAGGAGGAGGAGGATGAGGAGGAGGAGGGGGAGGAGGGAGGAGGAGGAAGAGGAGGAGGAGGAAGAGGAGGAGGGAGAGAGGAGGAGGAGGAGGAAGAGGGACGAGGAGGAGGAGGAGGACGAGGAGGAGGAGGAGGAAGAGGGGAGGGGGGAGGGGGGATGGGGGAGGGGGAGGAGGTGGAGGAGGAGGAGGAGGATGAGGAGAAGGAGGAAGAGGAGGAGGAGGAGGAGGAGGAGGAGCAGGGAGGAGGTGGAGGAGAACGAGGAGAAGGAGGAGGATGAGGATGAGGATGAGGATGAGGAGGAGGAGGCGGAGGAGGAGGAGGAGGAGGAGGAGGAAGAGGAGGAGGAGGAGGAGGAGGAGGAGGAGGGAGGAGGAGGAGGAGGAGGGAGGGGAGGGAGGAGGGAGGAGGGAGGAGGAGGAGGGAGGAGGAGGAGGAGGAGGACGAGGAGGAGGAGGAAGATGAGGAAGAGGAGGAGGAGGACGAGGAGGAGGAAGGAGGAGGAGGAGAAGGAGGAAGAGGAGAGGGGGAGATGATGATGATGATGATGATGATGATGATGATGATGATGATGATGATGATGATGTGATGATGATGATGATGATGATGATGATGATGAGGATGAGGATGAGGAGGAGGAGGAGAGGAGGAGGAGGAGGAGGAGGAGAGGAGGAGGAGGAGGAGGAGGAGGAGGAGGAGGAGGAGGAGGAGGAGGAGGAGGAGGAGGAGGAGGGCGGAGGAGGAGGAGGAGGAGGAGGAGGAGGAGGAGGAGCGAGGAGGAGGAGGAGGAGGAGGAGGAGAAGACAGGAGGGTCTACACACCACCCTGGGGCCCAGGATGGCCCTGGTCGGGCACGGCGCTGGTGTACAGATGCCCTCTGCGGAGATGCGCGCAGATGTCTTGGATCGGTGGTGAGCCCCCCTCCTCCCTGGCGCGCGGAGAGCGCCAAGGGCGGCGCTGGGGCCACCCCCTGGCGTCCGCAGATGTGCGTTTTTGTTTTCCATCCGGGGCCCCCCGAGGTCCTGACCGGCTCCCCAAGAGTGGCTTATCGCTCTGGGCCCATCTCCGACGGCCCCGCTGCCCGATGACCGGCCCGAGAGGCCGGGAGCGAAGGAGGCTGCCAAGATTGGACAGCTCCTTTCGTCGAAAATCTGGCCCAGCGCCGATCCGAGGACTCCGTGCGCAGCTCCGAACGTTTACGGTCAGGAACTTTTGCTCGGCATGTCGCCGCAGCGGCCCCGGCGTCACACTATGCTTTGCGAGCGGGTAGCGCGTCGCACCGCTCCGCGGGGCGGGAGGCTGGGCAGAGCTCGGGGCGTGGACGCTTGGAGACCTGGGGCGTGTCGCGCCAAAGCGCGGGTGGGCCAGAACTGGCGCAACGACGCGCTGACAGGTGGCGACATCCGAACCCTGCCCCCACCAACCATCGAGTCTCCTGAACTCATGGGAGGCCGGGGTAGGCTTGGATTTCGTCGCGCGCTCGACGAATTTCGAACCCTGCCCACGCCGCCCATCGAGTTGCCCGAATCGTTGATCGGCGAGGGTAGGGTTCGGATCTCGCTGCCGAGCTAGACCATCGGCGACTTCGGCGCGGAGAAGAAACGTGCTCCACATCGGGCTGCACCGGCGATGCATCGGCGATGCGGCGCGATCCTTCGACTCCATCTGCGCACTCTGATCCCGTCTGGGAGGCCCACATTTGTGGATGCCATAACAATGGACAATCTAACAATCCTATCATTGAATTCAACATGTGTTTAAGATGTGTAAACCACGTTCTAAAAACGTTTCAAACATGTTTTTAGCATATTTAAAACATATGTGAAACATCTGTTAGACATCTGGAAATTATTTGGCAGCATGCTTCCTCTCCATTAATCGTCTTCCACAAGCCCAGATCGGCGGCGAGCCTGGGGGAAGTTAGAGGGGCAGGCCTTCTCGAAGGTGGCGGGTCCTGCCAGAGCCCTCGCACCTTCCGAGAGGCCGCCTCTGGCCTCGCAGAAGCCTCGACCAACGAGCCTTCTGAGGAGGCCCGCCCCTTCGGCATTTCCCTCTTGGGCTCGCCGCCGACGATCGGCGTCTCCGAGAGGTGTGAGAGAGCGCGCCCACAGCGCCGACCCCCCCTGTTGGAAGGGAGGGGGGGGTAGCTTGAAGATGGGGCCCCCCTTTTCGTATTCCCGGCGCTGCGGGCGCGCTCTTTCAAACGTGTGGCTTGCAAAGGCTGTGGTTTGCAACCGGCGCCCTGTGGGGGGCACCCTTGGGGGCAAGCGGGGACCTCGACGGAGATCTCCGCCGCGCCACGAGGAGGCCCGACGAGGACAGCGTCGTGCCCCCCAAGCCCCAACGGCGTTGATCGCGCACCACACCCCAGCGTAACCACACCCTTCTTTGTAGTCGCCGAGACTAGAGCTAAGCTCATTAAAGGCTTAACGACTTCTGCCGTCTCTCGGCTCGCGCTGGAGCGGCCACGATTTGTTCAACATTTCCATGGGAATCCTGGGCTTTACCTGGATTTGCCTGGCTCGACTTGGACTTCTGCTTCGATTCAACAGCATCTCTCTTGCTTTCTCTGGCTTGGTACCCACAAGTCGATTGGCGAAATGTCGCCATGAGCCTACAGGGATGAGCCACCAAAACTCCTGACCACACAGTGGAGGCCAGTCCACAAGAAACCTTCCACAAGAAACCCAATCCTGAGACCCCAGGACGTCCATTGATTTTCGATGTGGGAACGGCACGCTTTCCTTAGAAACCAAGGGCACCCTGGAGGCAAGCAAGGTGTTTCTTGGCATGAGTCTCCACTGTATCCGGCTTGGTACCCACAAGTCGATTGGAGAAGAGCCGTCACACGCCCTCAGGGATGAGCCACCAACGCTCCTGACCGTATGCTCAGGTCGGGCAGGTCCTCCCACGAGCGGACTTCAGAAGAAACCTAAAACATATAGTCGAACGCGTACTCAAACATAGACAACCCTGATTTAGAATCGTCCCCAAACCAGGTTTGACTACTTGTGAATATGCCGCCTGTAGAAGGACATGCCCGACCCAACCGCGTGCCCCTGCCGTCTTGCCTCCCTCGGGCCCCCGAACGGTCGCGGCACAAGAGCGCCTCGGCGCCTCGGCGGCCCGGGCAAAACCAACAAAACGGACCTCTCGAGGGGTCGCCGGGGCCGGCCCCAGGCTGGCCGCCGCGCCCGGGGGGGCTGGAGCCCCTCGCCTGCGAAGAAGAGGGGTCGAGGGGGGGCGGGGCGGGGGAGGAGGAGGAGGAGGAGGAGGAGGAGGAGGAGGAGGAGGAGGAGGCGAAAGAGGAGGAGGAGGAGGAGGACCAGTGTAAACCCAAGAGTCGTCAACGATGTTGGAATTCACCCTCCCTCCAAGATCCCTCTTCATAGGCTCCTACGACGGCTCATTTGCATTGAGGGAACTGCCTCGTTTGAAGACAACCGTTTGAAGACCTTGAAGCATGCCAAGACATTGTTCTCGGGATTTCCACGCCACGGATCAACCTGGCTGCTGCGTCCTGACGATATGGAATCGTGCCAAAACGACATTTCTGGGATTCGACACCGCGAAGCAAGATAACTGCTGCATTCGCATAATCCTGAATCCTTCATACAAAACATTCTGGTACGCTGATCATGGGAATCCGTGAAACTCCTGCAAATATGTAAGACGAGTGTGCGGCGCAAGGCGAGAGCCACATTTTGAAAACCACCCGCCCTCAATCCGTGAAGCTCTTGCATATGCTTAAAATGAATGTGAGCGGCGCTAAGACAAAAACCCTTTTTTTGAAACGACCCACCCTCAATCCGTGAAGCTGTTGCGAATGTTTAAAACGAGCGTGCGCAGCGCTGAGGCGAGAGCCACATTTTGAAAACCACCCGCCCTCAATCCGTGAAGCTATTGCAGATGTTTAAAGCGGATGTGCGCGGCACTGAGGCGAGAGCCACATTTTGAAAACCACCCGCCCTCCATCTGTGAAGCTGTTGTCATTATTTAAACTTCAGAATCATCAATGGTGAGGAGGTCTCAGGCGAAACGCCCGGCCCGCCCTAAAAACTGGCCTCGTGGTGCGATAAAAAAACCATTTATAAGGAAAAGAATAGAGGAGGAGGAGATGGAGGAGGAGGCGGAGGAGGAGGAGGACGAGGAGGAGGACGAGGAGGAGGACGAGGAGGAGGACGAGGAAGAGGAGGAGGAGGAGGAGGAGGAGGAGGAGGGCGGGGGCGGCGGGGGGGGAGAGGCCCAGCGAGGCGAAGGCCCCGAGAGCTGGGCATTGCATTTTTTCCGGCTTCGGGCCCGGGGGCCATCACGGATCGATCCGGCCCGAAGAGCGCAGTGGAAGGATGGGATCTGAGGCTCCGGTCGCGATCTTCGACGTGGCCTTACGCGCCCTCCTCCCGTACTGTGCTTCCTCTTCTTCGCGCGCTGCAGCCCCTGCTTCGAGCCCCTGGGTGTGGCCGTGACGCCGCCCCGCGCCCACTGCCAAGGTGATGCAGCATAGGCTGGCCGCACCGGCCGTTCCAAGGCGATGCACCTCGCCATGCGAGTGCCCTCCCTCCCCCCCTTCCGCTCCTCCTCCTCCTCCTCCTCCTCCTCCTGCTCCTCCTCCTCCTCCTCTTCCTCCTCCTCCTCCTCCTCCTCCTCCTCCTCGTCTTCCTCCTCCTCCTCCTCCTCATTTGCCCGTTCCCCCCCCCTCCCACCGGAAATCTGCGTGTTCCGTCTCCCGGTCCGCCGGAGCGCGCGTGCGGACTGCCCGGGCCGCGCCGCGACGGAAAGAGAACATGTTTTCCGCGACGTCGGATCTGAAAGGCGGGGATGAGGCGGAGGGGTGTGAGGGAGGCGGGGGGGGGGAGGGAGGGAGGGGAGGAAGGGGGGGAAGGGGAAGGGAGTGAGGGGGAGGGAGGGGGGGAAGGGAGGGAGGAAGGGAGGGAGGGGGGGGAGGGGGGGGGGGGGGGAGGGAGTGAGGGAAGGGAGGCAGGGAAGGGGGAGGATTGAGGGAGGGAGGGAGGGGCGGGGGAGGGAGGGATGGAGGGGGGGGAGGGAGGGAGGGAGGGAAGGGGGGCAGGGAGGGAGGGGAGGGGAGGGAGGGAGGGGGAGGGTTTTGGGGGAGGTGGAGCCGGAGGGGGGCGTGAGGAGGACGATGGGGAGAACGCTGAAGCGGCCGAGATGCCGCGTGCGCTCGCCGCGCACGCGGAGCGGCCAAGAAGAGCCTTCGCTCAGGCGGTCGCGTAATTAAAGTTTCCCCTCCCACCTCCCCCACCCCCTCCCACCTCCCCTCTCCTCCCTCCCCCTCCACCTCCCCCTCTCCTCCTCCTCCTCCTCCCTCCCTCTCTCCTCCTCCCTCCTCCTCCTCCCTCCTTCTCCCTTCCTCCTCCTTCTCTTTCATCCCTCGTCGTTCTCTCTCCTCCCTTCTCCTTATCCCTTCTCGTTCTCCCTCCTCCCTCCGCCACCCTCCTCCCTCCATCTCCTCCTCCTCTTCCTCCTCCCTTCCTTCTCTTTATGAACAACTCCTCCCCATCGCAACTCGAGGCTGGTCGAAAGGGCGGGCCATGCGTTCCGCCTGAGACTTCCCTACCATGTATGACCCTGCAGCTTACAAGTTGCAATCGCTTCACGGATGGAAGGAGGGTGGTCTTCAAAAAGTGCTCTCGCCTTAGCGCCGCGCGCAACCGTCTGAAATTGGCCTGGCGAAAAAGAATCCAACCACATGCAATTGTGAGTACCGCAACTGTGAGTACCGTCTTAAGGGGAACTCCCTATGGGGCAACGCCAGCATGCGGGCTGTGCAACTGGGCCCTTCGGTGGAGTTCCTTGTGGAGCCACGAAACGTTTGAGCGATGCGCCGAAACAAAGGTTGCGCCCACATGCGGGCTGCGTGAATGGGATTTTAGGCGGAACTCCCTATGGGGCCACAAAACGTGCGAAGGGTGTGTCGCAACGGGGGTGGCGCCCACATGCGGGCGGCGCAAGTGAGGCCTTAGCTGGAGCTTCCTATGGGGCCACGAAGCGTGTGAGGGGTGTGAAGAATCGGGGGTGGCGCCCACATGCGGGCTGCGCCGATGGGACCCTGGGCGGAGCTCCCCATGGGGCCACGAAGCGTGTGAGGGATGTGCCGAAACAGGGAGTTGCGCCCACATGCGGGCTGCACCAATGGGACCCTGTGCTGAGTTCCCTATGTGGCCACGAAGCGTGTGAGGGGTGTGCTGAAACGGGGAGGGCGCCCACATGCGGGCTGTGTCAATGGGACCCTAGGCGAAGTTCCCGATGGGGCCACGAAGCATGCGAGGCGCGTGCCGAAACGGGGGTGGCGCCCACATGCGGGCGGCGCCAATGGGACCCTAAGCGGAGTTCCCGATGGGTCCACGAAGCGTGTGAGGGGTGTGCCGAAACGGAAGTGGCGCCCACATGCGGGCTGCGCCAATTAAACCTTAGGCTGAACTCCCCATGGGGCCACGAAACATGTGAGGGGTGTGCCGAAACGGGGCGTGGCGCCCACATGCGGGCGGCGTCGATTAGACCTTAAGCGGAACTCCCTACGGGGCCACGGAACGTGCGAGGGGTGTGAAGAAACGGGGGTTGCGCCCGCATGCGGGCTGCGCCAATGGAACCCTAGACGGAGACCCCCATGGGGCCACGAAACGTGTGAGGGGTATGCCGAAACGGGGGGGCGCCCACATGCGGGCGGCGCCCGTGGGACCCTAGGCGGAGCTCCCTATGGGGCCGCGAAGCGTGTGAGAGGTGTGCCGAAACGGGGGTGGCGCCCACATGCGGGCGGCGCCAATGGGATCCTAAGCGAGTTCCCGATGGATCCACGAAACGTGAGGGGTGTGCCGAAACGGGGGGTGGCTCCCATTTGCGAGCTGCGCCAGTGGGACCCTTGGCGAAGCTCCCTATGGGGTCACGAAGCGTGTGAGGGGTGTGCCGAAACGAGGGTGGCGCCCACATGCGGGCGGCGCCAATTAGACCTTAGGCGGGACTCCCTATGGGGCCACGACGTGCGAGGGGTGTGCCGAAACGGTGGTGGCGCCCACATGCGGGCGGCGCCAATGGGACCTTAGGTGGAGCTCCCTATGGCCCCACGAAATGTGAGGGGCGTGCCAAATCGAGAGTGGTGACAATGATGGTGAAGATGACGGCCATGATGATGATGCCGATGATGATGGTGAGAGGAGGGAGGGCACAGCGGGCGGGGCGGAGGGGCGAGGAGGAACACTGGCGCGGGGCGCTGTCTCTTCAAAGCGAAGACCCAACACCACAAGATGGTTGGGGAAAAATGCAAAAGCTTTGCGGACGGAAAGCGGATGGTCTTCAATACATGGGTATCCCCTTAGCGCCGCGCACAACCGTCTTAGACGAATGCGCGAATTGCCGTTTTCAAAGTGTGGCTCTCGCCTTAGCGCCGCGCAACACCGTCTTAAACCAATGCGTAGCTCTCGCCTTAGCGCCGCCCACACTCGTCCTAAGGGCTTACATCCAGTTCAGGGTTACGAAGGTTAACGCCCCAACTATGGTGTCTTGGCACTATGTCGATCAATCGCAGGCGCAACAATTATGTTGATTCGCGGTGTTGGAACTCCAAGAATGGTGTCCAGGTGAGATTCTGGTTATGCAAGACGCACCAGTAACGGTTATTCGCTGCGTTGAAGCTACACAAGTGATGCTCTAGCAAAATTCAAGACTTTCAAACGGTTATTTTCCAACGGGCCCTTCCTTCAATGAAAGTGAATCCACGTAGGGGCCCGTGAACACGGAATCTGAAGGATTGACATTTATTGCTTTTTGCAATATCACTGCTGCGTCTTGGGTGTCAACTGGTCCTCCTCCTCCTCCTCCTCCTCCGCCTTCTCCTCCTCCTTTGGTCAAAAGGCAGCGGCATCGACCTGTTCGACAGTTGCCTGGATGCGAGGATCGAGAAGGAGCAGCTCGCATACCAGGAGTCCATGCAAACAACTTGTGATGCGGAAGCCCCTGACGGGCCCACAATGCATGACGCGGGCTTGCCATCGACCACCACGGCCAACAATACCTCGTCAGTGCGAGAGCGAGGCCAACACCCTGGACCTCGCCAGTCGGACCACGAAAAGGAAGACAAATTCTGCGCAGCCCGCGGGGGCCGTCAGACCCGCGAACATAGCGAGAGGTATCGCCAAGGGGCCTCGCCCACGAAGCCCACAGAGGACACGATGGATTGAGACAGTTGGGAGACCCTGGTCCCAGTGGGCAGCGACAGCTGGATCGAGTACCCCTACCTGGAGGCAGCAGCAAACCCTGGACATGACCACCCAAGCGCAGGTAGGATTGGCGGTGGCCACTGGTGAGAGGAAGACGACATCGACCTGTTCGACAGTTGCCCGGATGCAAGGATCGAGGAACAGTTCGCATACTAGGAGTTCATGCAATCAGCTTGTGACGCGACGGCCCCTGAGTGGCCCAGGGTACATGACGTGGACTTGCCATCGAACGCCACGGCCAGCAGGACCTCGTCAGTACTAGAGCGAGGCCACCACGAAAGGGAGGACTGGTTCTGCCCAGCCCGCGGGAGCCGCGAGACCCGCGAACACAGCGAGGGGCATCGTCGAGGGGCCTCGCTGCGCGAGAGGAAGCAGAAGCTCAGAGCCACATCAGCCAACATCGACACCACCACCATGGGCCACGTTTGGCACGCGACAGGGGAGCTCCAGGCACGACGCTGGGTGCGCAGCTCGCGAACACCATCGGGACGCTGGAACGGTTCTACTGCGTGGCCTACCGCATCGACCCAGTAGATCGGCACCGCTTTATGGGGAGAGACCAGGCCTACCAGCCAGAGGAGGTGAACGACAGGGAGCACCGCGAGAGACGCGAGAAGTGCAGGGCGCGCCAGGCGGACTGGTGGGCTTGCGCGGAGGTCGCGCTTTCGGCGCCCACGAAGCTGTAGAGGCGGAGCCGAGGCAGAACCCAGCAGACGGCGCTCGCGAAGGCAAGGCGCAGCCTGGCCCACGACAGCATGCCGCAAGTAGGAAGAGAGCCGCTGAGACAGCACTGCTGCACCGCAGCATCTGCCCCGCCCCGCAGCCGCGGTCGCCCGCGGCCGAGGAGGCGGCCGCCGCACTTGCGCGGCACCAGCGTTAAACGGGCAATTTTTGCGGCGGCAACCGTGTTGCCAAGGTGTCCCGCTGCAGGGGTCGTTCGGCCGTCCGCGCCAGGGCGCCCAGCTCCGCAAAGGAAAACGTTCTGGCACGCAAACACCGATATCTTTGTCGGGCCCCGACGGAAGCTCCTGCAGGCGGAGCGCGCGCGAGCACTGAGGCCCCTGGCGGTAGGCGCCAAGTGTCCCGGCGCTCTGCACGAGCTGGGAGGCCGCTGGCGCTCTGCAGGGCCCAGCCGCTGGCGCTCTGCACGAGCTCGGGAGGCCGCTGGGCGAGGCCGCGGCCCCGCCGCCGCCGCCGCGCGCGCGCGCCCTGATGCGCCCTGCGCCGCGGCCGCCCGCGAGGAGGGCGGAGGCGGCCCTGCTGGCGGCGCCGTCGCCCGCGCTGGCCCGCCGCTGCCGCCGTGCCCCGAGGCGCGCGGCCGCCCCTCCGCCGCCGCCGCCGCCGCCGCGCACGCACTGAAGAGGGCGAGCGCGCGGCGGGCGGCGAGGCGGCCCGTCCACGACGGCAGACGAAAGGCTCCTCCTCCTCCTCCTCCTCCTCCTCCTCCTCCTCCTCCTCCTCCTCATCCTGCTTGAGCAGAGGCGCGACGAGGAGGCTGCACACGACGCACGACCCGGTAAAACCGAGGCGAAGACGAGGATGGAAATGCAGGTGCTGCAGCCAGTCGGTCTCCTCGGCGACGGCGACCACCAGCATGCGAGAGTGGTTCAGCCACCAGTGCGGAGGACCACCGCCAGAAGCGGGGACATGCGCAACGAAGAGGGCGCAAGCGCCGCAAGAGGAACACACACTGGAGAGGAAAAGCCCCCGCAGCAACTCACGACCGACGAGAAGATGGCCTAGCTGCCCCCGGCGGCCCAGTCCGCAGGCACGGCAGACGCATCGGGGATCTTCTGACCTGGGTCAATCCACACCCGGGTCGGCCAGGCCTTGCAGAATCCCACGAGATCCTGCACCCAAACCCTGGTCAACGCGAAGGATCCTGCAAGACCTTGCAGGATCCTTCACCAAAGCCTGGGTCACTGCGACCCTGGCCCTGGAGGATCCTGCAAGATCGGGCGGTCTGGCTGACCCCCGTTTGCGTTGACCCCCGTCGCAAGGCTCCCGGACGCAG